ATGTGTGAATTAATATAAATTCAATTAAAATTTGTAACATTTCATCCCCCATAGTACTATTCCCCCCCAAGTAGTAAGCCAAGTCCCCCCTGTGTCAATTTACTTACCTTTGCTCCTCGCGTTCCTCTCACCGTGTTCCCACGCCGTTCTGGTCTTCAGGGCGGACTGTGAGAGGAGCCTAGCTCCCCTCACGTTCGTCACGCTGCCCCGCCTACACACATCCTGACAGCCAATCACTGGCTATCAGGATGTGAGTGGCAGCGAGACTGGCCAATCATTGCATTTGAGCGCGCTGAATGATGCAAATGTTTGCCTGCCCTGGCTGTTTTTTTTTTTGTATCACGCTCCGCGGGCCGGATTAAAAGGTCCGCCGGGCCGTTTACGGCCCGCGGGCCGTAGTTTGCCCATTCCTGGTATATATACTGGAATTTACGCAGCTATGACACTATATTGGTAATGGCGGTGATCAGCGACATTCATTGGGATTGTGATAGGGTGGCGGGCAATTTAACAGATACTGTATGACACTGGCGACCTACATTGGGATTGTGATAGGGTGGCGGGCATCTTAACAGATACTGGCTGACACTGGCGACCTACATTGGGATTGTGATAGGGTGGCGGGCAATCTAACAGACACTGGCTGACACTGGCGACCTACATTGGGATTGTGATAGGGTGGCGGGCAATCTTAACAGACACTAGCTGACACTGGCGACCTACATTGGGATTGTGATAGGGTGGTGGGCAATCTAACAGACACTGACTGACACTGGCAACCTACATTGGGATTGTGATAGGGTGGCGGGCAATCTAACTGACACTGGCGACCTACATTGGGATTGTGATAGGGTGGCGGGCAATCTAACAGACACTGGTGACCTACATTGGGATTGTGATAGGGTGGCGGGCAATCTAACAGACACTGGCTGGGTGGTACACTAACTGACACTGATGTCGCTAGTGACACTAATACAGTGATCAGATATAATACTGTACATTGACACTGTATTAATGACACTGGTTAGGAAGGGGTTAACACCTAGGGGCAATCAAGAGGTTAACTGTATTCCTAACAAGTGTAATGAGTGCTGCTTTTACTTACTAATCTGGTTGTTTTTTCTCCCTGCTTTCCAGGGAGAAGAAAAACAGCCAGATCCCTGTTCTTATGTATGCAGAGTTCTGTGTGTTTGTAAACACAGAATTCTGTGTGTGATTGGACACATCCTCCTCTCAGTAGGTTTCAGCCAAAATCATTGGCTGAAATTTTGGTGTCAAACTCGTGCTGCGTCCAATCCTGGAAGAAGGCCTGTAACATCAATGTACATGACCGTGCCTGTAGCTGCCGCACACTCGCAGAATATTTACTGTGAGTGGTTGGCAGGTGGTTAACCAGTTCCTGCCCAGCCTATAGCCAAATGACGGCCAAATGGGACATTCACTGCTCCAATTGGACATCCTATGACCTCTTCCCGAACGCACCTTGTGCGTGCCCTGCGGGCCGTACTGCAGAGCAGTCTGTCACCAAACACAGTGGATGACCAATCAGTGTAGCAGCCACTGCCAGTACCATGTGACTGCTGTGACCAATCACAGCAGATCACATGACAGTTGTACACGATGGATGGATTTCATACATGCCATCCGTTGTGTTGGTCACAGTGATCACATGGTACAGACAGGGTCAATCACAGCGCATCTATATCATGTGATTAGCTGTGGCCAATCACAGCTAACCACAATAGTAAACACAAATTTCATTCAGTAAAAATGGTTGCTTATAACAGTGAAATTCAGTGGTATATGCAATCAAAGTGTGAAGAAATCCTTATCACTTCTTCACAATAGTACAGAGTCATAATGGTAACATTATATTGCTCTGGTCACAGTGTGTTAAAAAAAAAATAGTTAAAAAAAAATGTAATGAAGAAAAAAAATTGAAAATAAATTAATTTTTAATTTTTTTTTTTTTTACTTACTGTCACCAGTCAGTGTCCCTGAACATTGCCACACAAGTTATATGATGACTGTACTGCACTGTTTATGTACAAACAAAATAAAAATTGTGAAATGCATTCTGACCTAAATGAAGAAAAAACGTTTTTTTTTTGTTTATTTACCAAAACATAAAACAACCCAACGGTGATTAAATACCACCAAAAAAGCTCTATTTGTGTGAAAAAAAAATGATCATTTCATTTAAGGTACAGTGTTGTATGACTGGGCAATTGTCATTCAAAGTGCGACAGCACTGAAAGCGAAATATTGGCCTACACAGAAAGGGGGTGAAAGTGCCCAGTATTGAAGTGGTTAAAAAGCCATATGTAAACACACATCAACTGGGAAAAAAATGACCAACCGCCAGCCTCAGAGGTTCCAGGCGGCACAGGTGGAATCGCCGCTGTCTTCTAGGATTGCTGAGTAATCGAAATTCCACTGAAGTGCACTGTTGCAATAGACTTGAATACATTTTTGTGTGAATGTGAGCTCCCAGTTCTGTAGGAAGGCACAGTGATGTCACCCATGCCTCCCAGAAGCATTAGAGACAAGTAAAGCCATCTGTTTAAAGGCTAGGTTCACCTTTTATTAAAAAATAATCACATCTTTTTGCAGGTAAAATATGTGCATTTACTATTTTTTTATTTCTGCAGCCTGTAAAGCATTGCATCCATGATCAGCAGCTTACGGGTGCAGTGTGAGGCTCCTGAAGACTGTCAATATAGCTGTCTGCCTGTACCTCCCATACCCCATATGCACAGTCAGTTACTGCAGAGCAGGAAGAATCAATGAACTACAAGAGAGCGCCCTCTCAGATCATTGAGAACTACAAGCCGCCAGCCACAATGGAAGATGGTACTTGTAGTTCATTCGTTCACAGATTGCTGTTTCTGAATTGTGACTGGGTGAAGGGAGAGGATCCCCCACCCACTGTCACAATGAGGGATCGGGGCGGGGGGATGCGGGCAGGTTTTCTTTGGTACCATGTTACACCGTAGCCTCCCTGGCAGTTTTCCTGAGTGTAGCTCGGGGTAAAGTTTCAGCACCACAAGTGGTAACCCCGAGCTACACTCGGGAATACCTTGCAGTGTTGCTCCGGGATCTCTTCTTCCCTTACCTTGTCCTGCGCTCCTGCGATGTCCCTCCTGCAGTGTCCCCTGTAATGTCCTGCGGCCGATGCCGGCATCTGTCTTCCGGGTTCCGTTCCCTGCAACGTCGGGACACACGGGGACGGAACTGGCGGGAAATTTGAAAATGACAAAAAGTGACATTCACTAAAATCACATAGTAAAACATTACTGTATCAAACCATTTCACATACATTTTGTCTCGAGTGCTTTGTCCGGCGCCCTGCCTGCTGTTCTTTCTACTGTTCTTTCTGCCTGAAAACTGAGAAAAGTCCATGGCATCCAAAAAGCGTCCCTTTAGGTCAAAAGCGGTTTTAGACCAGCTAGAGAACAGCGATAGTAAATCAGAACCCACTTGCAGAATTGAGTGATAATGATTTGTGGGGGAAATTCGTCATCAGACACTGAAAACAATTTTGCGACTTTGCTCAGTGATGTGTGAACTTGGCGCTATATTTCAAATTTCAGTGTTTTTGGTTTGATTATATTATTGAATTAAATTTATTATTATTATATTATAATTTTTTATGATTATTTATTATATTATAAATTTATGATTTCGTGTTTCAAATTTTATCATACCCGGGATGTTTACTAGACTCTTGTTCGGACAGATTTCAGTGAGTTATTCCTAAAAATTACAGCCTACAATAAAAAAATACATATTTCCATGCAAAATAATGGTACCGCTTTGAGCACAGAAATACTGACATAATCAGACTGCTAGGGAGGTTAAATATGGGTGTGACATGCTACCAAAGGTGAACTTATCCTTTAAAGCCATTTTTGTTAAGGGCAAGGGGTTTGCAAAAATGTGGATCTTCTGCTTGGCCTAGAAAGTCCATGTAAAAGATATTTGTTCTGCAAAATAAAGGAAAGAAGGAGTTGACTGAATTTTATGGTGTTTTTCACCAGTATATGAACCCTCACCTTGTAAAACAACCTATTCAGTTTGAAATAGAAACAAAAGGCAAAACATTTGTGTAGAGATATAAAGAACATTATAAAGACCCTTTTCCCCCTTTTTATAATTGATAACACGTTCTGTTCTCAGCTGCATAAGGAGCTCAGAGAGCTGTGGGAAGAGAAACAGCAGCACACTGATCTTTTCAGTGAAAGGATGTGGGGGGGGAGGGGTGCCAGGACAGGATTGGAGGAGAGCAGGCAGTGTTCCCAGCACAGCTAGAGAACTCGCCATGCTGTGCTATCACGCTTAGTGTGGTCAGTTTTTAATAGGAAAGCAGAGGGACTGGCTGGAACACCAGGGATTTCACACAAAGCAATACATTCACATCAGTCCCTGCCCTCAAGGAGCTTACATTCGAAGGTCCCTAACTCACATTCATACATACACATACAAGGGCAAACTTATATGGGGCCGATTAACCTACCAGCATGTCTTTAGATATAATTTTGTTTTCAGCTGGTGATGGGTTGTTCAGTAAGGCTAGGTTCACATCTGTGCGGGTGGTGCCGCTACAGATCCACACGAAAATCCATGCAGCCGCACTACCCGCACAGAGGAATGCGGAGCCGTGGGCGGGTGCCATTAGTTCTAATGACACGCCGCCCGCACTGGAAAAACGCAACCGAACTGGTAACCGAGGTTCTGGTGTGGGCTGCGTTTTTAGAAGTGCCCGGACTTCTTCCCTTTGTGTCACGGGGCACGGAGTCCATTCAAATGAATGGGCTCTCATGCCCGTGCAAAACGCGGCCCGCACAGCCGCATATATGTGAATCAGGTAAAAGTGATCTGGGGAGCTGGATCAGTTTGATGATAATTTATTTTGCATTGCTATTTTTGTTGTCTTCACCATGCTTTCCTTTATTTTACTTACTGTTTCCTCATCTGCTTTTCAGTTGTTTCCGGGTGCAATGGCAAGTACTGCTTCTAATGATGAAAGTAAAAGTGTCAAACACAGGAGAATTTCGGAGGTGAGTAGATTTTTCCTTTTATTCCTTTTTTTGACCCAGTTAGATAAGTAAGCATTCACAAAGAAAATGTCCGTGGCTAATACACTTTAGTAGCTGTGTCCTTTGTGTTTGTACCTTTAAAGTAGAACTATAGGCACAACATTATTTCCTTTTTGAATAGAGTAATGGAGGGTTATAACCCCGGTCAGTTTTTGTCATCTGTGTCCCATTGGAGAGATTTACCTTCACTTCCTGTCCCATAGCCAAAACAGGAAGTGAGAAAATCTCTGCAAATTAAGGAGATTCCTTGGTCACCAGAACTAGTGTCCCAATTGAAATTACTTTTCTGGGGACAACCCAGAATTTCTCTTACTTTCACTTTCAATGACAATGGTAAACAGGACAAATAGGGTGATGGTCAGCTTTTTAATCAGCTAAGGCATTCTCCACAGTCACACGTATGCAAGGGGCGTATGTGGCTATGGGCATGATTGGCTGTACATTTTGACAGCTTCCCGGCAAGTTAGTTTAGATGGGTTCCAACTTGTTTCCAAACACACGATTTCATCCCTGATCATCATCAGCAGGAGTTTTTTGTGTTGCTTGCTAAGATATAAACAACCATTGGTACATTGAGCCTAGCTACAGTACAGCTTTCAGTACACTGTCTGCATTTGAGGACTTCCACTCACATGCCTGTCACATTAGGACTAGCGGTTCTGCCTGTGCAGCCTCTGCTTCTTCATTGACATGAATGGGCTGCCTACATGCAGCAGCTACCAGTCAGGGATGGATAAACAAATGGCCTGTTCACAGTACAGTATATGGGCATCAGCGCAGTATATGGGCATCAGCGCCTGTATGAGGCCTTACAATGTATCCTCTTTTTTTTTCCCTTTGTACCAAAAAGGTTCTGAAGCTAACTTTGAGGGCTCATTCACACCAGCAGCCTACTTAACGCACACCATGTGGTGTGCAATGAGAGGAACAGGGGTTGATTTACTAAAACTGGAGAGTTCAAAATCTGGTGCAGCTCTGCAGAGAAACCAATCATCTTCCAGGTTTTTTTTTTGTGAAAGTTTAATTGAACAAGCTGAAGTTAGAAGCACTTTCCAGGTTTAGTAAATCAACCCCACAGTGTCATCAGAGTGCATCATGCTGTTTACTTTTTGTTTCTTTTTTGCTGCAACTTTGAGATGTCAGAAGTGACATTTCATTCAATGCTATTCACTGCAGCCGTGTTGTGTTGTTTTGGTTTTATTGCAACTTACTGCGTTAAAACAAAAGCTGCATACATTACTTATTTTTCTACGCACACCACCACAACACAGTGTTGCAAACTGATTTCATAGCAACCAAGGCAGATCGCCAGGTCTTTGCATTGTGATTGCACTGTGCTGGCCAGCATAGCCCAATGAAAATGGTGTGAATGGGCCATGAAACCCTGTCATCACCAGATGTCTGGTAAAATGTTGAATTTATGTGAATGAACTCACAGTACAAAAGGTGTGGCTTCCTTTCTTTGAAGAATTTCTGCTAATAGCATGCTGCATAGTTTGCAGATTTTGCTAAATGAGACTTGGCCACATGCTAAGAGGAAGGACGTGACACACATCTCACATTGTATCTTAGCTTCTAGACTGACTAATAGAAATCAAACCTTTCCCTTTACACCACAAACATTTTTTAAACCAGAAAAATCTAATGAATCCTATTTGTATGAATATACTCATTACAGTAGAAGTAAGTTTTGCTGTCGCAGACTGGGAGCGGGCAATCTCTTCATTGCAGAAGAAATACTCCTACCTGCCTGCTCGCTGTCTTCTCTGGCATGTGCAGCTCAGCTTGCACAGCTGTCACAGTCCCTGTATGCCGGTATGACTGACTCCTTCGCGTGTGCAGAAGTGACATAATCACTCCGCAGCAGCCAGTGAAGACAGCTGAAGACCAGCACCCAGCAGAAGATGCCGCCGAAGGATGGGGACCATTGAAGAAAAGGTAAGTATAACTCCACTTTAAGAGCACTAACAGAAGTATTTGAAACAACTACTATCTGATTCAAGGTGTGCTTTGAGTATAAATAAAATTCAGCTTATTTCATGAGTTGAACATGCTCCCTTCTTCAGAATTAAGGGTGATAAAATTGTATATAAGGCTGCTTTCACACTAATACAGTTTTGTTTCCGCTTTTAACCACTTGAGCTCCAGAGGATTGACCCCCCTTAATGACCAGGCCTCTTTTTGCTACTCGGTGCTGCACTAATTCAACTGATAATTGCGCGGTCATGCAATGCTGCACCCAAACGAAATTTACATCCTTTTTTTCACACAAATAGAGCTTTCTTTCGGTGTAATTTGATCATCTGTACGCTTTTTTTTTTTTCACGCTATAAACAAAAAAAGGCCAAATATTTTGAAGAAAAACAATATTTTTTACTTTCAGCTATAAAAAATATATAGTAAACTCAAAGTTGGTTATAAATTTAGGCCAAAATGTATTCTGCTACATGTTTTTGGTAAAAAAAATCCCAATAAGTGTATATTGATTGCTTTGTGTGAAAGTTATAGCGTCTACAAACTATGGTATAGATACTGCAATTTACGCCATTTTTCTGCTATACAGTGCTGCGCTAGTTTAACGGACAATTGCGCGCGGTCATGCAATATGGTACATAAATGAAATTTACATCCTTTTTTTCCCCACAAATTGAGCTTTCTTTCGGTGGTATTTGATCACCTGTGCGGTTTTTATTTTTTGCACTATAAAAAAAAAAGGCTGACAATTTTGAGGAAAAAAAAAACAATATTTTGGACTATTTTGGACTTTTTGCTATAAAACATGTGCAGTAAAAAAAAAATGCAAAAATAAAATCTAGTCATAAATTTCTGCCAAAATGCATTCTGCGACATGTCTTTGCTAAAAAAAAACCCAATACGTGTAAATTAATTGGTTTACGTGAAAGTTATAGCGTTTACAAAATGGTGGGAAAGATACTGGGGTTTTTAGGTTTTTTTTTATACTAATAATGGCGGCGATCAGCGAATTATGGCGGCGATCAGCGACTTATGGCAGCGACCAGCGACTTATGGCGGGACTGTGGGACTGCGGCGGACATTCTGACATTGGGGGGTACTGACTTGGGGTCACTGACATCCCCAAAAACACTAATACAGTGATCAGTGCAAATAAAAAAACACTGACACTGTACTAATGGCAATGGGGAGGAAGGGGTTAACTTTATTTTGCAGGGAAGGGTTATAGGAGTGAGGGGAGTGTTTTACTAGGGGGCGGGGGTGTGTACTGGGCATGGGACAAGGCTGATCTAGAAAGAGAAACTGTTCTTTCTCGATCAGCTCATCCTCGAGCTGAAGGAAAGTGACAGACAGCACAGCTACTGCAGCTGTGCTGTCTGTCACTGTTTGCCGCCGATCGCCGGGACATAGCCGCTAAGAAGCGCTGTGACCCGGCGACTGACATCTGCAGCGGTGATCCGCGGGACAGATAGGGCGGCGGCGCGCCTCGTGCGCGCCCCCTATTTGTTTACAAAACACACATTTTAAAATGTGGTTTTGCCTGCGAGTGCCGCCCTGCCGCTGTATATGTACAGTGGCTGTAGTTAAGTTAACAAAAAGTGGAACCAAAAACGCATGACCATTAAATCCTATGGGACTCTTTACACTGGTCAGTAGCAGGTCAGTTGCAATTTTGTTGCAGTAAAAAAAAACACAAAAAACATACATCCTCCAATGAAATGAATGAAAAATGCATCAAAAACGCACCCGTGGTTATGTTTTTGTTGTGTTTTTTGAGTCACATATTCGTTTTTGTGAAAGTAGCCTAAATGTTGCATAAAATAAAAGTTCTTGTTATGCAGCTTTTTATAGCTTAGAGTTTCAGGATTAAAAATATATCTTAAAATTAACAACTGAATCATGTATGGATAATAAGTGCATGTTAGTACCCATAAGAAAAAAAAATACCCAATTATTATTATTATTATACATTATTTATAAAGTGCCAATGGTTTGCTCAGCGCTGTACATTACAAAGGGGGACAGAACATGTGACAGAACAATACCAATACAATGCAAAACATGAGGGGATTGAGGGCCCTGCTTTTTCGAGCTTACAATCTAGGAGGGAGGGGATGGTGGCACAGGAGGAGATAAGCTGTGGGGGATGGAGTGGTAGGAAGAGTGGAGGAGGTCGGCAGGTTAGCAGGGGGTGGGGTAGGCTTCCCTGAAGAGATGGGTTTTCAGGGTGCGCCTAAAGGAGAGGAGAGTAGGTGATAATCTGATGGGTTGGGGCAGGGAGTTCCAGAGGATGGGTGACACCCTGGAGAAGTCCTGGAGGCGGGCATGGGAGGAGGAGACCAGGGAACTAGAGAGAAGGAGTTATTAATAAGTTATATAAAATACAATAAGAGAAATACAATAATATACCCAGCTTATAAATTGTATGTAATTGAAATAGCTACAGTACCTTGAAAAATATTCATACCCCTTTTTTCCACATTTTGTCTTGTTACAACCCAGAACGTAAATGTATTTTATGTGATAGAAGACCACTGTATGGGAAAACTTTTTTTTTTTGCCTTGGGATGTACTTTAACATCAAAAATATATTTTCTAAGTACATTTTTAGATTTCATCACTAGATGGCAGTATTATCCTTTCTATGTTTCAGAATTATGTATTTTAATAAATTTGTTGTGTAAATTGTTGTAAATTCTGACCTGTAAGGGATACAAATTCAGTGTCTGTATATTTTTCTACAGTATGTTTTGTTAAGAATTTAATTTTTGACTCATAGGGGTTTATTTACTAAAGCTGGAGAGTACAAAATCAGACTCCCTTCTGCATAGAAACCAATCAGCTTCCAGGTTTCATTGCCAAAGCTTCATTGAACAAGCTGAGGTTAGAAGCTGGTTTGGTTTCTATGCAGAAGGGAGTCTGATTTTGGACTCTCCAGCTTTAGTAAATAAACCCCATAAGGTCTGTTAAAGAGCAGTTGTCTGTTT